ACATTACAGTTGTGATCTTTTAAAATGTCTTAGATGTGATTAGTCGTGGGGTAGAGATACATGCTCCACAAGAGAAGATAATAAATGGCAAAAACTCAAGGCTGATTGACTTTGTAATCAAGGATTCTGAGTATGTATCTACTTTTTTTTCCCCTTTTATTCCTAAATTAATTGTACTCAATACTAATCCCTATTCCAAATTTTAGTGGTATTCAATTGGGTTGTACGGTATGGGATGACCACGTAAACAAAGTTGAAATGTACTACAATTCTTCTATTAAAGAACCACTATTGATTTTAATACAGTTCTGTAGAGCTAGAGCTTGTTTGAGAAGTAAGTTCTAAATTCTTTAGATGTTCAAAGTTTTTTTTTTTTTTTTAAACAAAAATTTAACTAACCTAATAATATATTTCATTTATGTAGGTGGTGATATAAAAATCTGTTCCTCATATGATGTTACACAACTCCTATTCAATCAATAAACCTCAGAGTTTAGGCAGTTTAGGCAAAGGTATTTCATAATATCAAGTTGTTCAATGTGAATTATTTGTGCCTCTTATTTTATCATTTTATATATATATATATATATATATATATATATATATATATATATACACACACACACACACACACACACACACACACACACACACACATATATATATATATATATATATATATATATATATATATATATATACACACACACACAATAAATGCTTTTACACTTTGGAGGGAAAAAATAAAAATTTATTGTCATTTTGCTTTAATATATATAGAGATAGAGATAGAGATGTGGTAATACAATACTTTATATTCATTTACTCATGAATTTTACTTTTTAATCAAATCCCTACCATGAGTTTAAAAAGGAAATTTACTTGTTAATCAAATACCAAAAGAACCAATCAAGTGATGTTACATCAAGAGATGAGTATTAAGAGAGAAATTTAGAAACAGGGTGTAGTATCACTCAATATGTAATGGTCACACACATATGCGTAAAGAATTGAGATTATATGATAATAATGTTTTATGAAAAAATTACAAACTAATACTAGATATCGGTAGTCAAGCACCTTGTACTCAATGGTATGTGGTGACTCTTCCATATAGGAGGTCATGAGATCGAGCTTTAATGGAGGCAGTGTTGACTCTTTCTGCTTTAGCAGAGTAAGAAAGTATAGACGAACATATACTACAATGTAATAGAGTCAGCAATACTAGACATTGGTATATTTTTTATAAGAAAAATTATTATCATTTGAACTTGTCCAAATATATTGAAAAATCTACTTGTTAATAGGTTAGAATATGTGACAGTTGTCTGCATGGGTTTAACTTAATGGTTCAGTAGGTAATATTTGGAAGAAGAGACCTAGGTTTGAACCTTGGCGGTGGTAGTGTGGGAATTATGCTCAAAGTTCCTCTCAAATATTTTATCGAGCTGGAGCGGAGTGTGAGGGACCTTTGGAGTTGAGGATTCAATATTTTGGGAGAAAAATATGTTACAGTTAATTTTGTTGCCTTTTGATTATTTTATACTTTTTAAAAGGTTAATGTACTTAAACTTTTGCCACTTAGAGCATCCATATCAGTTGGAGATATTACAGGGCGTTTGGTTGGAGGGATTTTAAATTCCCTTCTCACTTAATTCCCACCTAATTCCAAAGACCATTTAATTACGTAGTTTGGTTGGAGGGAATTGCAATTCCATGGAATTGCAATTCCCCCATTTTCATGGAATTAAAATCCCATGTCCCCCCTGGTATTTTAATTCCTGGGAAAAAAAGATAGTGATGAGTCAAAATTACCCCTTCCTTTTTTAACCTCAAATTAATGTCTAACAACAACAATGAACATTTTTGACTTTATACTACTTATTCCCTTTCAATTCCCATGTATACCAAACATTGGAATTAAAATTCCCAGTAATTCTATTTGTGTCAACCAAACACTGAAATTTAAATTCCCACTTTATTCCCAGTAATTAAACTCCCATGGAATTACAATTCCTTTCCCACATAATTCCCCCCTTCCAACCAAACGCACTGTTAGGGGAGAATGTAAGAGTGAGTAGGAAAGAGAATAATGTGGGAGGGGAGGGAAAAAAAAAAAATCAAAACTGATTTTATAAAAAAAAATATATAAAAAATAAGCATGTCATTTCTTTATTGGTTCTCTTTCCTCCATCATTAATTTTTTTTCTTGGGCAGAGTACTATCCCAACATTTGCAGATGCTCCCCACCCCTTCTCTCTCTTGATTCTCTCTCTGCCACTATGGCATTTTGGCCTCAAAAGTAGTGAATTCTCCCCCATTTCTCCTCTGATGTAGATGCTCTTAGTTATTTTGTCTTTGGAATTGACAATGGATCACCGTGAGGTTTTAATTGGTATTTAACTCATAGGAAACCACCCGACAGAAATATAAATTTGCATTTACTATTTTGGAATGGAAAAAAAATTCAAAGTACACTCAATGCTTGTTTGACCGATTGATAACAATTCTAGAAAACAATACAATGCCCTACTTTTCCCTTTTTTCTTTTTTCAAATTTCCATAAGCATTATACTTTGTTTCTAACCAGCTGTATTGATCCGTTATCGATTGTCATAGGCCCTGTTTGGTAAAATGGCTGTTAGCTGATAGCTATTAGTTGTTAGCTGATTGTGTTAATTAGAGGGTATAAATATTTGATAACAATGGCTGATTGTAGAAAAGTGTTTTGTAAATTAGCTGTTAGCTAATAGCTGTTTGGTATAATTTCTTTTCTCAAAAAGTTAATTGAAAAAGTTGCTTGGAGTAACTTTTTGAATTTTAGCCTTTTGAAGTTGCAAAAAGCTAATCAACATAATATTTATATTGATATTTTAACTAAATCAAATAATTAATAGTGGTCAAATAAGCCAAAATTGACCTATAGGCTAATTTTTTACCAAACAGGGCCATAGTCTTCTTCTCCCACATTGTTAGCGAGCAACTATGAGATTATAAGTGTTTTTTTTTTTTTTAACTTTATTTTCGTTATATTTAACATTTGAAATTTTATGTATAAACTCCCTCTATCACCATCCATTTTTCATTATTTTCAATTCATTTTTATTTGTATATTTATATATCAAAATTTATCTAATCAATTTCTAAAATTATCTGAAATGAAAAGATTGTTTTGAAATTTAGGCTATGTTTGGCAAATCTAGCTGAAAATGTAACTGAAAACGTAGCTAAAAGCTGTAAAACTATAAGCTAAAAGCTGAAAACTGAAGAGCTATTAAGTTAACTGATTATGCTTGTGGTCCACTGGTAGCTAAATTTTAAAATTGGTAACATTTTGAAACTCGAAAGACCACAGATGATCAATTTTAAAGTTTAGGACTATAGGTGGCAAAATCAGCATATTCGTAGGACCATAGATGATATTAATCCTTTTTTTTTTTTTTTTTACTAATATTCTATTTTAATTGTTTTATGTGATAACCATTTTTCCTATGTACTAAAGAATAATTTACAACTAGACGTTAGAGACTTAAAGATGATAAAAAAAAAACTGAAGATAGTTAGTGTAGATTAGGTGAACTTATAAAAAACAAAAAAAAAAAAAAGAAAACAAAAAACAAAAAACTTCAATCATAAAAAAATGAAAATTAAGATTTTAATGATAATCAATAAATGAAATAATAGATGCTGATGAGAAATGTTAACCTACATTTGATTATGTGGATAGTCAAATTGAAATATGTGTTCATTCAAGTAATAGATTAAGGCTTTATTTGGCAAAGCTTATTTAGGAGCTTATAGCTTATTTTAAGCTATTAATAAGCTATAAGCTCTGTTTGGTAATGTTTCCAAAATAAGCTCCTAGCTTAAAATAAGAGCTTATTTTGGAACGCTACCTTTAGGTAGCGTTTCAAAATAAGCTCCTAGCTTCTTAATTTTTTTTCCATCTTTATCCTTATTATTTTAAAGAAATGACATAATTTACCATTCCCAATTAAAACCATTTTCTCTTTTCCTTTATTCGCAACTTTCAACCCATAATAATAATAATAATAATAATAATAATAATAATAATAATAATAATATTATTATTATTATTATTATTATTATTATTATTATTATATTTGCAACAATATTGCTACTTCATTATGAGATGTTAGATCATGATTATGCTAATAGTTTTATTTCAAAATGTTAATTTTTTTAAAAGACAAAATGTTAAATTTTAATATGTAAATAAACTAATTTAAATTTTATGAAGATGTTCTTTTTAGTCTTTTTACATTTATTAACTTATCAAAAAGTTAATTTTACCAAACACTTTCAATCATAACAGCTAGCTTAACAGCTCTTCAGTTTTCAGCTTCGAGCTTATATCTTATCAGCTTTCAGCTTCGAGCTTATAGCTTATCAGCTTTCAGCTCCTAGCTTATAGCTTTTCAGCTAGGTTTGCCAAACAGAGCCTAAATTTATATTTGAATTGTACATTTATATTTATATTATATATTATAAGCTCAACATGCCATTCAAATTTCTTCATAGTCCTGCCTTGTCGTCCTATGTCGCCCTTTAGTCCAAAGTGGACCGTGTAATCTCCTTAGAATAGAAAGGGCTGTCTAGGACAATAAGGCCACAGGTCTAGGAACGAACTTTAACGACATGAAAAATTGAGAAAATAATTTGAACAGAGATTATTCTTAGTATGTAGAATAGTAGGAAATGGTTAGCACAAGTTCACCCGTACCCAAAAGTGAGATTGCGTTAATAAATTTTGTGACTTTTTGATATGAAAATTATGCTATTATCATTACGGGGTCACTAATAAGTTTGGCAATTTACGATCCAATGTGAATAAGAATTAATCTGAGTATAATATAAGTTTAAAAATGTCTTCTACAGTTAGAACTTTATCAGTACATCTCATGTGACCAAAAAAAAAAAGTTTGGCAAGTTTGGCATTTATAAAGGTGATATTCTTTTGGGGAAACAAAACTAGATAAGCTCGGTCTAACATGTCCCTTTGTCCGAGACGTGGAGAGAGACAGTCTGTTTGCAGTTTGCACTTTGCTACTGTAGTTTCTTTGTCCGCTTCCTTCTCCCCCAAACTTGTAACCACAAGTGACAACCATTCCACTGTTTAATTTCTTTCTTTTTACTCTCACTCTGGCTTAGTTCACTTCTGCTAGCTGCCTGCAAATGCAATGAACTCATGCTGTGCAAACGCCTCCTAGATTCCCCTTTCAAGAATGGATTTCGGGTTAATGGCGGCGGCCGGAACGGCGGGCACCACCCGGCAACACCCTGATGAACCCCCAGGCGGCGGCGACACCCATGGATCTGGCCACCCAAAGCAAGAAAGATCCGCAGCAGCGCCTTCTAAAGTTCCCAGCTTTTTATGGAGATCTGCGGACAGCGTGCCTGGAAAAGCCACCATGCTTAGTTTCTCCTCCTCCAAGTCTGAAGAAATCCCCTTTCTTTCTTCTGCGCCTGCCGGGGAAGATTCATCTAAAACCATTTGTTTTCCGCTTTTCGAGTCCCACCAGAAACGCGGTCCCCATTCTGGCGCCGCTTCAGGTATATTTATTATTTGCACATGTTTTAGCTCTGTGCTGCTAGATTTACTGAAGAATTAATAAAGTCATCTTTATTCATGTGTTTTGAAAATTTAGATTGTGATAGTAATGTGCAAAATGATGGATCAGTTACTTCTAAGTTCTAATGGAGACAAATAGACAATACTGCTTTGATTTTCCTTCATTTCTGAACAAAACCAAAAAGTTACTAAGATGAATAGAACAGGAAACCTGAGAAGACTTGCTTGGTTAGTTGGTCAACCCTGCAGAAATTTTATCTTCTCCTTTAGTGACGAGATAACCCACACTCACTATGCATACTAAGTTTGACCAACTTGGCTAGGTTCTTGAGTATACTAGGTTGGGTTCTTGTGGTTAGTAAGTCAAGATTCTAATCAACTTGATTGGGTTCTTGTGATTACTAAGTGACAAACTTGGTTAGGATGTTCTTGGTTTGCAGTTGTGTTTGGTGATTTTCTTGTGATGCATTTAGCTTTGAATCTTCATTCTTCAGCTTACGCAATTGGAGGTTTGAATGAAAGCTTAAGGGGGGGTTCTGCTCGGATCAGTGGACCATTCACTCCATCACAGTGGATGGAACTGGAACATCAGGCCTTGATCTACAAGCACATGGTGGCAAATGTTCCAATTCCTTCTAATCTCCTCATTCCCCTCATGAAATCGCTAAACCCCTATGCGTTTTCTGGCTTATCCCCTGGATCTTACGCCCCGAATTGTGAGTTGTTTTCTACCCAAACTAGTACTTGGATTCCATAAGGGCAAGTAAAACTTGTTTTCATAACTTTTGTATTCGTTCTCTTCTGCAGGGGGGTGGGGTGCATTCCATCTCGGTTTGTCTGCAAACACTGATCCTGAACCTGGGAGGTGTCGTCGAACTGATGGAAAAAAATGGCGGTGCTCGAGAGATGCTGTTCCTGATCAGAAGTACTGTGAAAGGCACATCAACAGAGGCCGCCATCGTTCAAGAAAGCCTGTGGAAGGCCAGACTGGCCATGCTGTTTCTGGATCCACCACTTCAAAGGTATCCCCAATTGCTTCCTCCTCTGCCTCAGCAGCCTCGGTGATATCCTGTGATGCCACATCCAACACCTTCGGTGCCATGAAGCACCACTTCAATAACACTAAGCCCAGCCCCGCAAATCCTTCCACTCACCATCTCATGAATAACAGGTAACCACGCTTTTTATCACACATCTGGTTTTGTAGTATAAATTCGTATCGTTTTGAACTTTATTAGAACTTGTATGGCAGAACGCAAGGCCACAACCCTTACAAAGAATCCTCCCAGGAGTTGGGTTTTGGATTTCCATCCTCAGATTCTGTTCTAAATCCTCTGCAAAGAAGGCCCTTTGTGAACTCCCATAACTCTGATACTCTTCTTGATTTCAACGCCCATGAACAGCATCTAGTTCACCATTTCATCGACGGCTGGACAAAGGAACAGTCTACCTGCGCTCCTGCCTCCTGGCCAACCGAGCTGAAATCAGACTGGACTCAGCTCTCGATGTCAATCCCCATGGCTTCCTCCGATTTCTCATCATCCTCAACCTCTCCCCGGCAAGAGAAACCCACCATTTCACCTCTGAGGCTATCACGCGAGCTCGAACCATTCCAAATGGGATTGGGAGTGAGCAATAATGGCATTGCTGACCCAATTCAAAAGCCATCAACTTGGATTCCAGTAACCTGGGGGAACTCGATGGGCGGTCCATTAGGCGAGGCCCTAAACAACACGTATGGTAGCGCTGGAGCTGGGAAGACCTCTCCTAATCTGAACCTAACCACAGAAATGTGGAGCAGTAGTCCTTACATGGGGTCGTCCCCCACAGGCGTCCTGCAGAAATCGTCCTTCGTCTCGCTCTCAAACAGCAGCACCGCAAGTAGCCCCCAAGACGATAACAAGAAGGTTGAGAGTGCTAGAATGTGCAATGACATGGTTGGTTCAAGTGTAGTAAGTTCTTTGTCTATTCCATCACTGTGAAGAAACCAATCTGGAGAGGTTGAAGTTGATAACTAGTAATATCGACATTATTAGTATTCCTGCTGTTTTACTACATTAACATTGCTTGCCACTTTGTGTAGTTGTCGTTGTCATCTCATAGTAACGTTGTAGCTTAAAATAATGTTGAATATTCCTATATGTTTTTATCAGAACTCGTATTTGTTTTTATCATTTGCCCTTTCTATTCCCCTATTTATAAAACTCAAATAATTACACAACTAAAAGCAAGGTATCCCTATCTGAAACTGTGTTGTTTATAGTTAGATAATTCAAATCAACAAGACTAATAAGCAATTCTTTCGAGAAATTAATCACGCAATATAATAAAGATGGGTTGCAAGCGCATTTAGCTCATAATTCCCTTCAAATTCCATTTTTTCCATCAGTAAACGTATTATTATTATTAGACAAAATCAAAGAAGAAAAAGTGAAGATGGAAGGCTCAGACACGCACAAATAGGTCATCAAGTTAGAAAGACTGTAAGTGACACTGATATCAGCATCGAGAAATTGATTTCTGTCATCATCGCCTTCCACAAGCCCTCAACAACATAAACCAAAAGACAATCATGCTAAATATTCGCCATGGAAGTATATTAAACTGAAGAAAAAGAAGGAAAAGCTGAGAAAGAATGGCTTTGAACACCCGCACAGAATCGCAGACATGGTTCGTCAAATCAAATGAATAATAATGGCGGTTTTATGCGGCTGCCGGGGATTTTATACTCTATGAAACCCTAATATTCGGCACCGTTTCTGTCTATACTCTATACAATACTCTATATGATTAGCACGGAAAATGTTAATTGCAGATATAAAGGCCCATCTCAATGAATTTTTAAGCCCAACAAAGTAGCCCAATATAAAGGTCTAATGCAAATTATGATGTGCAACCGTGCAGTCGTTATATCGTGGACCGCGATGCATAATCGATTATTCACCGCGCATCAAAACGGTGTCGTTTCTTTAAGTAAAGAAACAGCGCGTTGTTAGTGTTAACATAATGACACTACAGTGTTTCTAAATTGACACTGCCTCACATATTATTTTTATATTATCAAATGAAACTACAGTTATATCAAAATGATACTGTAATTGTGATGAAATGAAACTGCAGTATATTATATAAAATAAAACTGAATAACATTTCACATATTTGAGTGTAAATTGTACAATGAAGCTGTAATTATATCGAAATGATCATGTAATTGTGTTTTAATGAAACTATAGTGTATATAAAATAAAATTAAATAACATTTTCACATATTTGAGTGTATCAATATTGAATGAAACTGTAGTTGTGTTGAACTGAAATTGCAGTGTATACAAAATGAAACTGAAGAATAGAGTTATTTTTTACGGAACGACGCGAAACGGATTCCATTTCTTTTCATTAAATAAAACAACGTTGTTTTGATGCGTGGTGCATAATAGATTATGCACCGCGGTGCACGATATAATTTGCCGCAACTATGTGCACCATGCATAGTGCACACTATTCTATATTCATAATTACTGAACTATATGTTCATAATTATAATATTATATATTCATAATTTTTGAACTTCATATTCATAATTATTGAACTCTATATTCACAATTACATAACTCTATTTTATAATTTTTGATATTCATATTACTAATTGTTGAACTCTGTATTCACAAATCACAGAACTATATGTTCATAATTTAATAACTATACAGTTTAGAAATTATGAATCTACAATACATAAATTATGAATCTACAGTATATATATTATAAATTTGCAGTATAGAAATTATGAATTTACTGTATAAAAATTATGAATCTATAGTATAGAAATTATGAATCTATAGTATATAAATTATGAATTCAATTCAGTGTGCACCTTGCATGGTGCACACGGTTGCACAGCATAACGATCCATATAAATTTGGATAAAATATGAGATGTTAAAATTTTATCTATACCCGATCCAAAACCTAACCTAATCAAAATTTTATTTGAAATATAATAATATGAATTATATATTTAGTTTTAAGTGTATTTCATAATTTTATTTTAGTGATTTCATTAGAAATGATTGACAAGTAGCAACCCAGGTTGATCTTGACCTAGCAGATGCGTACATTCATGGAGATACTCTTTTGTAGATAAAACAAGTCTTATAAATATTTGAACATTTCCTAGAGTATCAATATTATGCATTATAGGCATCATGATATGCATGCCATGTGCAAGAATGATTTATAACACTACTGTATTACATTCTACTTATTGTTTTGGTTGAGAAATAGATGAGTGGTATTTAATGAGGGATTTTTCATAGGGGATGGTTTCCTCATACTTTGCTCATATTCTGGCTCTTCCTTTAGACTAAATTGCTTTACCTTAGTGTGTGCGTTGGGCTGCACTTGTAATCTAAATATAAATGTTTTTATTGTTTTGTTTTTTATTTTTGTAGATGAGAGAGAAAAAAAAGATGATTGGTTGAAGAACAGGTTACAAATTCTTGAGATTATAAACTGAAGCTAACCGGGTGATTGACTAAAAGATGAAACACCAGAGCCCTATGAAGATTAAGTACTTTATGTTTTAAAAACTTTTTTGTGTGTATGACAATAGTGCATTGTTTAAATATTTATGGATTAGATACGATACTATCTTTTTGTTTTAAATAATTTTGATATTGAAATATATTTTCATTTTAAATTTAGATAGTGTGTACATTATTTTGTAAATGATATAGAATGTATTCACAACAGATAAAAAAAAATTATAACAAGATCAAAAAAAAAAATTATATAAATTTAGATTTTCTTGGTTACAAATTCCGGCCAACTTGTTAGTCACAATTTCCGTCCAACGGTTCAAAATTAGACGGAAATTCTCATTTTAAAATGTGGGTTACAATCTGGATTTTTCGTCAAACGGGTCAAAGTTAGTCACAGTTATTGACCAACCTGTTGGTCGGAATTTCTGTTCAACGGGTCAAAGTTGGACGGAAGTTTCCATCCTAAAATAGTGGATTGTCATTCGGATTTTCCGTCCAACGGGTCAACGTTGGACTGAAATTCACATCCTAAAAATGGTGGGTTACCATTCGAATTTTTCGTCCAACTTTGACCTATTGAACGTAAATTCCGTCCGACATCTAATGTAGGACGGAATTAGCGATGTTCATTTTTCCGAGGTCTCATTTTGGACGGAAGCCCGTTTTCCGACCAATAACCCCCATTTTCCGTCCAACAAGTTGGACGGAAATAGCACGATTTCCAGCAGTGTGGAGCTGTACAGATCGGTCTCAAGTTATTGGGAGGAAGACAGAAGATGGAAATGGCATGATCAAGACCAGCTGTTACCAAGTGAGTTCCTGGACAAACTAGCTGTTGGAAAAATAGCATTAAAATGGCATTTTAAGTGGCTATTTTGTAGTACAATTATCAGCGGGGTCCACTTTCGATTTGGGTCAGGTCAAAGTGGATTCGGGTTCTTTGTAGTGAGACGAAGAGATTGATATATTGTACACTCAAAACGGATAATGGGTGAATGAGATATTGATTCTCAAAGTAGACCCATTGAGTTGGAAAAATGAAGGGAAAAGTGAGCTTTGTCCCACGTTGGTTCGGAAAGAGGATTTGACCCCCCTTTTATACAAGAGCTCTTTTGGAGCTTGTAGAATTGTATAGCATAGAGGCTCTCTCGCGCGGGGGGTGGGGGGTGTGCAAATCAAATTCCAACTAGAAACAAGATTGAAAAGGCTTGATTCAAGCCCGAGCTCGTGTGTGCCGGCACCTACGGGCACGAATGTCGTCTGGAAATTGGCTGGCTTTACGGGCTAAGTAAGACCACTGGGTTCGGCCTTAGTGGCCGAAACATCTGTTTTTATCTGATTTTAATTTCAGATTTTTAATTTCAGATTAAATGCCAATTTAAGCAAATGCTGTTTAGTACACAACCTCCTATATAAGCTAGTGTAGGAGCAGCAGGTTTACAACATCACAGCAACACAGTGAAGTAGTGAAGAACTGCGGGCTTAGAACAATACACACAACACAGAAAATTTTGTTTTCCCAGCTCTAAAACTCTGTTCCTACTCCTTTCTTGCTACTGTGATCTGCCCGTGCTCTAGTTCGCCGGGTTCGCTCGTTTGGGTGCTCAAATGTCGAACCGTTGTATGTTTTATCCTGGGAAACCTAGGCCACAACGCTCCTAGCACTTTTGGGAGGTGGCAAATAAGGTTTTAAGGAAAGAAAGGCATCTCGCCTAACTTGTACTATTCTTTCTTCCTTCTCCTTCTTTCTTGTTTTGGATTATGCTCTAAGCAAAAATCTTTTCTACCTTCTTGTTGATTGGAGTTATAATCTGAGGATTATAAGTTCCATTTTTGGTTAATATATATTGGTATATCTTTTTTCGTAGATATATACGTCTATATGACCTTTGGATCCGGTTTATATATATTTGTGTGTATATATATATTTTGAATATATATCCAATAATATTTTATATATATTTTCGTGTATATATATAAATATTATTTTTGAGATATTAAATCAATTTTGGTTCATTATCATCAACACTAGCTGCTATAATTGTGTGCAATGATCCTGAAGACAAGGATGAATTTGGTTGGAAAAATGAATCCACTTGAAATTTCTCGATCAGTTCTGCTTACAACCTGGCTGCTGGCTCTATTAATTCAGTGGAGGCAGCCAAGTGGAATAATGTCTGGAGGCTAAAGGTACCTTCACTTGGCTCGTGAGGTGGTGAGCTGTTGTAGGCTTCCAAATTAAAACCGTACAAACGTAGTAGCGGGAATAAGGATCGATCCCACGAGGAGTAACTAGTTTAACTTTTGTGCTCAAATTAAAGGTAGGGGGTTTGGAATATATCGAGAATAAAGATAAAATAAAAGAGAATTTAAATAAACAAGAAATTTAATTGAACGAATAAAGCAATGAAAATAATATATCGAAAACACTTATAATAGGAGACCTTGGTTAGTAAAGATCCACCACCGGAATTCAACACTGATCATTGATTAATAAAGTAATTAATATGCAATTGAATATTTGTCCTGAAATTATTTCATTTCTGTTTTCCCTTAGTTGTAGGTAAATAAAGCACAAGCGGTTTAATTACCCCTAACTACTAAATAATCTAAGACAAGCGCTATAGATTTAATTTA